GTGTTCATGTCTTTATGTCTGTAAGTTTTTCAGTCTGTCTCCATGTCTGTAAGTTAGTCTGTGTTCAAGTCCTCATGATTGTAAGTCTGTCAGTCTCGTCTGCATGTCGGTAAGTCTGTCTGCGCTCTAATTGATATGTCTGAGAGTCTGTCAGTCTGTCTGTGTTCATGCCTTTATGTCTGCAAGTTCGTCAGCAGTCTGTGTCCAAGTCTTTATGTCTGAAAGTCTGTCTGTCTTCCTGTCTTTATGGCTGCCAGGCGTTCTTTCTGCTTGTATCTGTTATTCTGTATTTCTGTTTGTGTCTATCAGTCTGTCTGTCTGTCTTTTAGGTCAGTTTGTTTATTTGTATGTTTTTCTTGTCTTTGAGTCTGTCTTTCTGTCTGTAAGTCTATCTGCATGTCTGTTTCCCTGTCCTTATGTTAAATAGTTTGTCTTCCAGTGCAATAGTCCGTGTGTCTTCCTGTCCCGTATGTCTGTATGCCAGCGTGTCTTTATGTCTATTAGTATGTCTGTATGCCAGCGTGTCTTTATGTCTATTAGTATGTCTGTCTTCCTGCCCTGTTTTTAACTCGATCTGCCTTCCTGTCTCGTATGTCTGTTTGTCTGTTTGTCACTTTGTCAGTCTGCCTTAATTCCTGTCTGTATGCTTGTCTGTCTATGAGACATACGGTGCGTGAGTATCATTATCTTTCAATGGATTTTTTTTACCTTCTGAATATCCATAAAGTAACTTTAAAATATGAAATGCAATATTTCCCATTTTCAAAAAAAAAAAAAAAAAAAATCATAATTATTCTTTTTTCTTTTTTCTTTTTTTTTTCCATTCCGCGTTTTTTTCGGTCTTTCTTTGTTGTACAAAAGTTTTGAAGCTGTAAAGGTCATTTTGCCGGCTTTGTTCTCATTCTTTGTCTCCCTCGGGATTTCACCGGGCTTTTGTCTTCCAATGTGAGAGCATTGCCACCCTTCCTGCGAGAGCTCTCTTCCCCCTCTGCCTCTCTCTCTCTCTCTCTCTCTCTCTCTCTCTCTCTCTCTCTCTCTCTCTCTCTCTCTCTCTCTCTCTCTCTCTCTCTTTCTTCTTTCTTTCTCTTTCTCTCTCTCTCTCTCTCTCTCTCTTTCTTTCTCTTTCTTTCTTTCTCTCTCTCTCTCTCTCTCTCTCTCTCTCTCTCTCTCTCTCTCTCTCTCTCTCTCTCTCTCTCTCTCTCTCTCTCTCCTCTCTCTCTCCTACTCTCTCTCTCTCTCTCTCTCCTCTCCTCTCTCTCTTCTCCCTTTCTTTCTCTCTCTCTTCTCTCTTCTCTCTTCTCTCTCTCTCTCTCTCTCTCTCTCTCTCTCTCTCTCTCTTTCTCTCTCCTCTCTCTCTCTTTCTTCTCTCCCTCCCTCCCTCCCTCTCTCTCTCTCTCTCTCTCTCTCTCTCTCTCTCTCTCTCTCTCTCTCTCTCTCTCTCTCTCTCTCTCTCTCTCTCTCTCTCTCTCTCTCTCTCTATATATATATATATATATATATATATATATATATATATATTATATATATATAATATATATGATGAGAAAATGTTTTCAAATAGGCAAACGCAGATAAGAATCAGAGAATGGAGGTGAATAAATATTGTTTTAAAGGGGAAAATAATTGAATAGTTAAAGTTTTCTTTTTGAAGCAAATATCAAAGTATTCAGAAAAGATTGAATTTCCAACGTTTGTTTTTATAGGCCGCGATTCATTCAATATTGTCAACCTCAAATCTTATGTGCCGCTGTTCTTCAGTATATTTTTGATAACATAAAGATTCAAACTATATTTCATTAGAAAAGGACCACCACGTGTGCTTAGTCATGTTTTTTAATTTTTATTTTTTTATTTATTTATTATTTATTTTATTTTTTTTTTTTTTATCAAGAAGACCTCCAGTTAGGACCCAATGGCCGAGTGAATGCCAGTCAAGAATTCCACACCGTGTCTGTGTCATACGATGTCACGTGGCCAAACTGAAAGGTTAACCACGCAACGTGAAACCGCATTTGACTCCAATAACCAGAAATATCATTGAAAAAAAGAAAGACAGAAGTAATTTTACGGCGGACTGCCAGGGAGTGAAATCTGTGGATTATTGGCAAATTGGGGATGGAAATAGGAAGGAATCATTCAAATGCGAGGACAAGATTCATTACATGGGTAGAGAGGCTGAGGAAAAACGTTCATGACACCGAGAGTTGTTCCAAGGCAGCTGAAACAAGGACCCAGTGCTTCGAGCTTGGCACTCTCCAGGAGGACAAGAGCGAGGGCCAAGTGGGTCCTCATGGAAGCCAGAATGTCAACTCTGAGATTGAGGTCCGCAAGATCGCTGGCAAGTCCACCGGGATTATATTAACACCGGCTTTAGAGATTGATGTCATAAGCATGGATACAGCTCGCTCTCTCTTCACGCTATTCACACATATTTACATACACACACACTCATGCACGCAGTTCAAGACACTGTAAAATCAAATCTTGTCATTCAAAAATCTAACTAATAGACAGAATAACAGATAAATAGATGATCTGAAACACAGACAGACAGACACAAACTTCATTGAACAATAAAGTTACAAAGGAACTATCTTCAAGCATGGGAGAAATCCTCGGTTTTTCACGATCCAGAGTAGAAGAACGAGAGAAGTGGCCATTGTCGTTAGAGGGCAGAGCCACGGAAAAAAAAAATGCGATCCTTTTCCGCGAGGTGTAGGATTCTGCTAAACAACTCCGCTTCATGAATGTTTCAGGAAGAGACACCTTAACATGCTGCTACACGTACCGGAGATCTTGTCATTCGTGCTGCAAGATATTCCGCGAGGACACAGTGCCCGGCGGTTGTGGTGAAGCTGCCGTCATCCCTCTCCACAATCCATCCCGCTATCCTTTGGCGTTACGGACCCAATATTTTTCGCCAGGTGCTTGTACTTTTTGTTTAGGCAACTGGCAAACTTCCGATTGACATTTTTATATAAGAAAAGTTTGTTGGTTGTAGGCAAGTTAACAGTATTGCTACTTTGCCTCCCTGTCCTCTCATAACCTGAGACTTCCTGTAAGGAAACTCTCGCCAGAACTTTGGTAGTTTCGACGTCTTCCGATAAAAGCTGACAAGAATGATCCTTCAGAAGGCATTCCTTGCCCCCCCCCCCCCCAGGCGAAGAATGTGACGACAATGCTACTGATCTTTGTACCTGGAAAGGGTGCTACACGGAAGCTATCCATAGTGTCATCAATATCCTTATCACCAATATCCTCATCTGGATCCTGTCCACAAGGAAGCTCTCAGATCCACGCAGGACCTTTTAAACTTCACTTTTGCAGTATCTATGTGATGAGAGCGAAGAGCCAACTGTTTCATTACATCGAAAAATGGAATCCACAAAGATCCAAAACTTTCACCACAGCATCAGCTGCCCTCAGCTGCCAAGCGAATTAATTCGTATTCGCCCTTTTAAGTGAAATTTGAATAAATTCATAGTATTCAGCGAGATATTCATAGACTGCTGGATGGTCAAAGGATTTAGTTAAACAACAGGAGAAGCAAAAAGGAGCAGTTTAATTTGGCATGTATCAAAATTTGGACATTCCAGATCTAGTTCGTGTTCCAAGCACGCGGATTCCTTTACGTGGAAGCCGGGAATCAGGATATTGTGTGAGATATTAAGGTAAATAAGAAACGCCGAGAGAAAAAAAGGGGAAGATCTATCTTCATAAAGCACTTCTCTGACGGAACCGATACCGCCGCCAGGTAGGCTCATCTTCATGAATTGGAAGTATATCGAATCCCCTTAAATCATATGCATCCCACGATTTGGGGTTTAAACAAGATCACAAGAATATCTGTATATCATATTCCTCTTTTTAAAACGGTGAGAGAAAAAGAATAAATATACACAGGATGTACAGGAAGAAAAAGATGTGATAATGCGATAATATGATAGATATGATAATAAGCATATGAATAGCCATAGAGGATAGCAAATTAGTGAAGTGTCTCTGGATAATATTGATAATAAAGAATTAAGTAAATAGATAAATAATAATTACAACAGTTATACATATTCACTGCCCTACCGTTGAAATTAAGGGTAGAACTTCAACAGCTGATCGAGGTGGCCTCCTGTCTGATGCAGATGACTGTGGTGGCGGTTGGTGAAGAATTAAAAGAATCACAGTACGCAAAATAATGAAAATTGCAACTCAATTATCATATGATATATCTTTTTTTTTTTTTTTTTTTTTTTTTTTAAGAGGGAAAAAAAGTATTTACAGAATCAGTTCAACATTTGATCCTGATTGATAGCACATGATGGTTTTCCAATGCGTGTTATCTGTTTGAGAAAAAAATGACGTATTAAATTAGTGCTTATTGGTTCACATTTCAGGAGGACAGTATATATTTGGACGGATCTAATTTTAGCTCTAGATTAAAGATGCAAGTGAGTGTGAAGATATCATTAGAATTTCCTCTCTCTCTCTCTCTCTCTCTCTCTCTCTCTCTCTCTCTCTCTCTCTCTCTCTTCTCTCTCTCGTCTCTCTCTCTCTCTCTCTATCTCTCTCTCCTCTCTCTCTCTCTGTGTGTGATGTGTGTTGTGTATGTACGTGTGTGTACGTACGCGTGCGTGCATAAAGATTAGCCAGAACAATAAGACCATTGATAGTAGATGATCCCCGTTTCATGAAACCCAAGACAGAAAAAACACATAAACCCACACCCCTTAGCCTTAAGTTTTAAGCCATAACCCGGCTCAGCAACGCACCAGAACCACACAGAGGGACGTAAAAGGGACGCCTTTGCCGCTCCCTTCCCCCTAGTGTATGTTGCAACCCTACCCGTCCCCCTCCATCCCCCCCCAGGTCGAGAACTGCCTGTCAACCTACGACCCCCACGCGTGCGTCGTCATCTACTCCATCACGGACAAGGCCTCCTTCAAGAAAGCCGAGGACATCCTGAACTACTTGTGGCGGGAGGACTACACCAAGGAGAAGGCGGT